AACTATTTTATTCTTGCCTTTCATTTATGTGTCATCTTACTTTTGAGTGGCGGTTTATTTGAACATTCTTGGGCAAATTTTGTATTTGATAATTTTTCCTAAAAATCATTAGAAAGGTGGACATGGTTTCTTCTTTGGTTGTCAGCTACTTTAAACATGCAAGACTGCCTCCACAGGACTGGGGGGGGGGGGCAACTTTCATTGAAAGTTTAGCTTTTATTAGTAACAGAAACCCAAGTCAGCTGTTGACATACGTGCTCAACGAGGAGGTGGTAATCTGACATTTATTTGAGTTTTTTTTGTTGTTTTTTTTTGGGGGGGGGGCAGATGTACATGCTCCTTGCGTGCTCTTGTTTTTTATTTTCATTTTACTGCCGTAACGCAAAGGCGGAACCAGACAGTGTGATCACACATTCTTTCATACACTGATGACATTTATCAAGTCAAAGTAGCAGGCAGTATTTATTCTGTCACGGTGTCAACTGTGCCTGACAACTTGGTGGGGGAATTGATTGGCTGTGTTTATAATTATAATTCAAAAAGCACATCATCTGGTGGTACTTTTCCATTGCAGCTAACATTTTGGAAATGGTGCTTTGGGAGACAAGGAAAAAAAAAAAAACAACTTAGTTTTAAGAGAGTGATGTCAAAACCGCATTGGCTGAAAATGTCTGGTCAGGGTTTGTCAAGGAAAGCTTAGAGGGGGATTCTGTGGAAGAAGGAACTCACACACACACACACACACACACACACACACACACACACACACACACACACACACACACACACACACACACACACACACAAACGCTGTACAAAAGTGGTCTCACTGGCTGCCAGATAAGCTGAAGTAATAACAGTGCCATCTCAGCTAATTTTAGCCTCTGTATTGAATGTGCCGCCCCTGGAATTCATGGCAACATTTCTGGATGGGCTTTGCTGGATCTACCGCGTCTTGTTTTCTTATTCTCTTACTTTCAATTTCCTCTTCTTTCTCTCTCTTTCCCATGTTGTTCATTCCCTTACTCCTTCATAATCCTCCATCTTTTCATCCAGGACTAACTCCATACCTATAGCCGGTTGTGGATCCAACACTGCCATCTTTTCTTCATCATCTTTGTGAAAATAGAGCTATATAAAATTTTGGGGCGGCCCGGTGAACCAGTGGTTACCACGTCGACCTCACATTGCAGAGGTCGTGGGTTCGATCCCGGCAGTGGCCTTCCTGTGTGAAGTTTGCATGTTCTGCCCATGCCTGCGTGGATTTTCTCCGGGTACTTCGGTTTCCTCCCACATTCCAAAAACATGCATCGCAGGCTGATTGAACACTCTAAATTGTCCCGAGGTGTGATTGTGGGGGTATGATGGTTGTTCATCTATGTGATTGGCTGGCAACCGGTTCAGGGTGTGCCCCACCTACTGCCCAAAGACAGTTGGGATAGGCTCCGGCACGCCCCAGGACCCTTATGAGGATAATGCGGATCGGAAAATGGATGGATGGATGGAGAGATAACATTTTGGTTCATAGCTCTTTGTATCTCCATGTACATACCAAAACACCAATGTCTTGCCTGCCTGCAGATATTGCTGCTCGTTGTTTTCAATTAGCCCATTTTACTGTAGTTGGATGTCTGAAATAATCTTGTTACGTTTTGAAAAACAGCAACAACTAAAGTTGGAGCCTTGATGTCCGGCTGCTTGGTGCAATCACCTACTATAGAGGAATGTAAATGAAGAACAAATGCTGCCTAACTGCCACTTTAAACCTCCACTTCAATCCACTTTCGTTTAACCTCATACATTACATCTGAGTGGCCTTCGTCTCGCAACGTGGAAGACGTCGGCTGCCGCGCACAAGCAAACATCCATCCCTTTGGCACCCGCGCAAATAGACAGAAGGTCATTTCTGAGACATTAAGTACACAAGTTGAGAGCTACTTCAGAAATGTAGCAGGAAGCTGTTACTCTTTTGCCACTTAACTCTCAGCCGTCCGACTCCTGCATGCCTGCCTGCACAGTTTCGCTGAGATAAGAATTCATGTGAGTCTTCTCGAAGGAAAGACATGACACATGGATGATCCCAGCAAAACTCGGAGAATGAGTGAGCACACTTCTATTAAGACAGCTCACACGTCACCAATGATCACTGCTGTCATTTCAATTATTCTATTCAAACTCTGATGTTTTGTGCGACTTTCGAGGCACACTCTACTTTTACAGAACAAATTAGTCTGAATTGTATGACCCCATGGCTGTACGACTTCAGAGATATACTGTATGTGTAATATTCAGATCACACGTTTTCAATTCATTTTTGGGAGCTCAGCCGGGTCCGGGTATTAAAACGTCCACTCCGACTGGTTGGGTGCAGTAATGTAACTCTATCTGTTGCTCTTTTGTGCCAAAGACAACACATAAAAGTTGTCCTTTGCACAGGATAGTTAACTTTCTGTAATACTTGCGTACCCTTACTTGTTTGTAGTGCGAAGACATCTTTTCTGTGAATGAATTGAGTGTCTGAACATCGGCGAAATCAGTGAACAGCCTGAGCCATTCGAGCTGCCCCTTCATTTTCTAGCCAACAGAATCCGTTGTCGACGTTTGCCCTGCAGCTTAATGTTTTTTTTTTAACAAAATAGCTGCATGAGAGGCTGCCTGGTTGACTGAGCGGTAGGAATGCGATCTATTTTGGGTAACGGTGGAAGCCCCCCCCCCCATCGCGCCCGTTGTCCCATCCTGGGGTTCTTTTGCTCCGAGCTACATGACTCTTTATCCTCAGCAAGACGAGAGCTCTTCACACATCTTCGGTGAAACCAGATCTCGAGCTTCAGCCTTCTGATTTACTCCGCAGGCTATTTTTATTTGCTGCCAAACTCGTACCCTAGACCTTGGCCTGCTGCACCCGAGCTTCCTCTGTGTGTGGTGTACATGTGTACAAATGCGTTAGTGTCGTGGTTAAAAAGTAAAAGTTGCCTCGGTTTCAGATATAACTCCAAATAACTCTTATGAAGAATCTGGTGTAGCTGTATCAAAAATGTTGCCATTTTTCGTAGATGCTCAGCTTTGATTGGCACTGTCGGAGAAGTATTCCATAAACGATATGAAGGCAAGTAGTTACTGACATCAAAGTCGGCAAAGGATATGACATTCAATGTGTCAGAAAAAGATTAGACTTAGCGATTGATGCTTTGGTGTGGGGTGTGGTATTTCCTCCTTGTTATGTGTGCGCTGTTCTGTTGGCTGAAATGGCTTCTGTGACTGTGACATGAACACAATGCTAGCCAATTGGGAAGCAAGCCGAGCTAGCTCTCGCCGTTGCCGGACTGGTGTGTAGTGTGCTGTGTTGATTATTTCAAGTGCACCACACACTATTGAGAAAGTTAAAAATCAAAAGATTTCGGTCAACTGAAAGGCATGAAAAAGTCTGAAAAACGCTATATAGACAATTCCCATGGTTGTACTCATTCTAGAAGATTTGTCCAAGTGGCACCAAGTACCTGAGAACTTGAACAAACGGAGGATGAGAGAGAAGCTCAAATGGGGAACTGTCGAAATAATCTACAAACCACATTTGCAACTATCTGGTATCAGTCAAAGGTTGAAGAATTAGTGCTCTTGGTAGACAGCAGCATCAAGACCTCATGGGAAAAATCTGACCAATTTCAAAGTTGATTTTATAGATACAGTAAATGACCAATGCCCACGTAGTGTAGTTGCGGCCACTTAAGCCTCAATTTTCCTTGCAATTATGGATACATCGGAGCCAGTTGTCTTCACTAGCAGAGCTCGCAGGTCATTCATTTCCCTTTTGAACAATTACACTGGTGACAGTTGGAAACAAAGGGGGGCATTGAAAAATAGCCCATGATAGGATTTTATCGAGATGTGTTTTGCCTGCCATCCTAATCCAGTGTAATGACACCGTAATCTTATGACAATCAATATGTGGCATACATTGCAGTATGGACATAACTAGAGAAGGGGTAACTTTTTATTTAAAATGAAAAGTCTTGCATATCAGGCTGACAAAAACGTTACCCAACTTGCTGTTCTCGAATAAAGAGCTCAAGGCCCCAAAAAACACAATAGGTGTTTGAGCCACAAACAGTTCCGAGTTCCACTTCTATACCTTTCTGTGACTCTTCCAGTCTTTCTGTATCTCTGTTTCAATCTGCTAATGTCACTCTGTGATAGTCTAAGCTGAGTGGCCACTTACGAACTTCCGCTCGGTCTTGTGATGTCAAAATGTGAACATCAAACCAGGAAATGTCTTGGACCTGTCATGGATTAAACACCATGTTGCTCTTCAACAAATAAAAGTCCAATGTCAGATTAAGCATACATCTAAAAATGATAGCTACTGCCCAACCAAAATGGATTTTTTAGGATGATTTAACAATACATTGTCCTTATTGATATTTGGCATATTTGATTTTTTGGGGGATGTTGTGTTCAACGTCATTATCTTTGTTTTATGTTGTCATATGTTTTATTTTTGCTGATTTCAAAAGAGTTCACATCAGCCGATTAAATTATTAATTGGTTGGGTCCTGGTGGCCCAGTGGTCAACTGGTTAGCACGTCGGCCTCACAGTGCAGAGGTGCAGGGTTCGATTCTGGCTCCGGCCTTCCTGTGTGGAGTGTGTATGTTTTCCCTGTGCCTGCGTGGGTTTTCTCCGGGTACTCCGTTTCATTCCAAAAACATGCATGGCAGGTTAATGGAACGCTCTAAATTGTCCCTAGGTGTGAGTGTGAGCGCGAATGGTTGTTCGTCTAAGTGTCCTTTGCGATTGGCTGGCAACCGGTTCAGGGTGTCGCCCGCCTACTGCCTGAAGACAGCCTGGTTAGGCTCCAACATGACCCGCGACCCTTTTAAGGATAAGTGGATCAGAAAATGGATGGATGGATGGATGGGCATAATAGCAGTCATTCTCTTCATAATAACTTGATATTGCAGCTTTGAAAAAGCCGCTCTGCTATAAGACCCTCATTGTGTTTCAGTTAAGTACATCAAGGAGATGTCGGCCTTCTTCAAGAGCTCGGGGTCCCCTGGCGCAGCTCTCCCGTGGGACTCGCCTCCTCCAACGCCTCCGAAGGGCGTTGACCATTTGTCCGCCGAGGCGAAGGAACCCCGCAGCATCCCGCTGAAAATGTGCCAGGTGTCCCGCAAGCAATGCCCCCCTGACACAGAAAACAGGTACGTACCGCACGTGAGCGGTTCACTCTGTTTCGTCAGTTTTGATTGGAGAGAAGAGTCAAAATGGCTCATCTTCTCCCACCAGGTACTTCGAGGTGGTTTCGCCCAACAGGAAGAACTCTGTGTTCCTGCGGGCCAAAGACCCAGCCATGGCCCAATCTTGGTACAACGCCATCCAGGCCGGTGCTGCCAACCTTTTACCACAAGTCAAGGAGGAGATGAAGAGCTTGCACCCTGGTATGGAAGTCAAACACTTGGGCTGGATTGTAGAACAGGTAAGGATCGGATCAAGTGCTACCAAGGAGGTTATGTTTTTTATGGCCATTTTTTCGTTTGTTAGTAGGTAGAATGCCTTTCGAATCACTTAAAGGCGACATGAGCTTTCCTCGCATTTTAAAGCCGTTGCCAGGTGTCATCATAAAAGGTCTCTTGCATTTTTATGTCAAAATATCATAAGGAGAGAGAATTACAGCACGTTTAGCATTCATTTGTCACACGCTGGTTCAAATCACTTGGTTTTAAGAGGCGGGTCTGTGTTGAAGTATCATAAGTATCATCCATGCAATAGGCAACTTCCGAGTTCATAGAACATACTTTTGCATTCTTGAGCATTGGGAGCCAAATGCTTTAGTGATTTAAAAAGGGGAAGAAAGGAAACTAATTGCCTGTATTGTCCAGATCTTCACTCAAATATCATGTTTTAATATAGTAAGAATTTGAATCGGAAAGGACATCTTAATGCAGGAAGTGGATGAAGGTGTCCAATGTGGCAGAAATGCAAACTGATTGTTGAGGTGTACACAACAAATAATAAGAACAAGATCAGCTCTCTTATCCCTTCTGTCATCCCTGTGTCGTGCCCCGCCGATTCCTTAAGAGGCTGTCAACTAATGTGTGATGTGTGCAGGCGGTGCAAGGACCCGAGAGGCCCGTCCTCGCCGTGCTGACCGAGCGGGAGCTGCTTCTTTACCCTGCCTTGCCCGAAAGCAAAGACGCCATCTGCAGCCCGGCTAAGAGTCACCCTCTCATCACCACCAGGTATACATATAATGTATACTGTACATTGATACATACTGTACATCCATACAATACATACGGAAGTGTAAGCATCGGTATGTTTATGATCACGAGGTCGCTGCTGCTGAGTAGGAATTACTCAAAAGACCTTTTAGACGGCATTCAGTATATCTGCACCGTACAATCCCTCCTCTTTGCAAGGACTACATTGGAAAGACAACTTTTGGCATATCCCCTGTCATATAAAAACATTGCCATGCACACCAAGTCCAGTTCAGTGGTGGAGTCACATTATCACTCTTTCCATGTCTGCCTCAGCAGATGTTTAATCTGGAAAATATGAGAGTGATGCGAATTTATGAGTCATACTGCATAGGGTTCCACCCTTTATAGCCTTTTAACCCTGGATATTCTCCTTGTCTCTACAATCTACCTGTCTGTCATAGACTGGTCCACTCCGGCCCGGGAAAAACGTCTCCTCTCCTGGAATCGGAGCTTTCATTTGGCCTGCGTTTGGGCACCAAGCAAGGTGTGGAGACCCACGTCTTCCGGGTGGATTCTCCCAAGGAGCTGTCGGTGTGGACTCACCTACTGGTCGATGGCTGCCACAACGCCGCCGAGCTCATCAAGGAGGTCACGACAGGTACAGAGTAGACTGTCATCAAAGGCGCCTACAAAGAAAATGTCTAGTTAATATTTCCAATATAACCGGTCATGAATCAGCCTACCACAGTCAAGTATTAGCAGCTGCACAGTGATACAAGGAGCAACATACTAGGTACCACTATCGTAAGGTTTAAAAGGGATGGGAAGTAATCTCCCAAAGTCATTCAAACCCATTCCCCACATTTGATTCTCTTGATTATCACTTTTAGTTCAATGTTCCAAATGATCCAAATCGTGTTTGCTTTTGACACAGCCCACATGCCCACTCGGTAGACATAAACAACCAGCCGGCGTTAGGGATCGTTCAAAGAGAGAATGACGCTAAGAGTTGTTGACATGATATTCCAAAGAATAATAAAAGAAGAGAGTCAAGCTTTCAAGCAAAAATTAACATCGGGGTTTCATTCGTTTGATGTGACAGAACGGCATCTAAAGTTGTGAGTTCGAGTCCAGCTCCAGCCTTTGTGGAGTTTGCATGTTCTCCCCGTGCCTGCGTGGGTTTTCTCTGGGTACTCCGGTTTCCTCCCACATTCCACAAACATGCATGGCAGGCTGATTGAACACTCGAAATTGTCCCTAGATGTGAGTCTGAGCGTGCATGGTTGTTTGTCTCTGTGTGCCCTGCGATTGGCTGGCAACCGGTTTAGGGTGTCCCCTGCCTCCTGCCCGAAAACAGCTGGGATAGGCTCCAGGACCCCCCCCCCCCCCTTGGCTACAAATATCGG